TGCGTCTGGTATTCAGAGAAGATATAGGCATTCAAGTTCTGATTTTACTGTTCACTAGCTGTGTGACCATAGCAAGTTATCTAACTCTTGTAAACCTATTTTCTCAAACCTAAAATGTGGGTAATAAGGATATGAGCATAAAATAAGTTAATGTTCCTAAGTCCTAAGCATGGTGTCTGGCCTATAGTAAGGTCTTAGTAAATGCAAGTGATTTTGTATTGCTGTGATTATTAACTTGTTCTTGAATGGGACATAACTGAAAATAGGTCTTCTGATAAACAACAGAAAAATGAGGTACCATAGGGTAAACCATATCTTATAAATCACATTATTTGGTTCATATTACTCTATATGTGTTCATTTCTCTTTGTTACCTCATCTTTAGGGAAGTCATAAAAGCACAATAGGCTCAATAGAGCACAGTATTGTCTTAGTCACTGGAATGAGCTGGATAGTCAGTTTCCATGTTCCCATCCCTTCCCATATAATCAGCTCTGCTAGTGATAACAGTTAACTTCTTCCTGGGTACCAACCACTATTCTGAATACTTTACAGCTATGAATTCATTTAAACCCCCAGCCCTAGAAGGTGGTTATCAGTGTTGCCTCCATTTGTACAGGTGACAAAACTGAAGCACAGAGAGGTTCAGTACTTGCCCGAGGATGACCCTGTTGATCAGTGGTGGAGCTGGAATTCCATCGCAGGCAGCCTGGTTACTCGGTGTGTGTCTCCCGTTTCATCCTAATTTCATTGGAGGTTACACGATTGAATGTAAATGGCCCCATTTAAGTCAGCCCTGCTTTTCAGCGATGGGGATAGTAAAAAGGTGGCATCGGTTCCCTCCCCCAGCAGTTCCTCAGTGATCGGTGATTTGTGTTGGGTGTCCGGTTTTCACATCCTACTTCCAACCACCAGCCACTCCGTTGCTTCGTGAAAAATTTGAAAAACAGAGTGATCCTATTCTCTTAACTACAAATATTAGTCATTAAAATACAAACCTTAACAGTTAGGTCCTTTGGTGCTTATGCCCAGAGAAGGAAGAGTCATTTCTGTATTGAGATGTCTAAGAAGTCCCCCCATGCTTAGCAGGAAAACGAAGCCCAGCATGGGCAAAATGCTATCTGCCTCAGACCCTGAGTGAGTGTGTATAAATAGAACAGTTGGTGTGCATGGCCTGAATGGTACAGCTTCCCCTTTTCTATGCAGTGTAAATCACCAATGTGAGCATTTCCATCTGACACAAACTGTCGGTCGCAGAAGAGCACATTGTAGGATTCAATACATGTTACACAACAACTAAGACTGCCCTTTTCTTCAGCATGGTGATTTTTTTTTTTTTTCTTTCCATATCCAGCAGTTAGTACTGAGGCCTGAAACCCTTAGTTACAGAACAAAGTGGCTTAGCAGTAATCAAGCCTGTGTGAGGCTAAGGGAAGAATAATGAATGTTCCCTGCAAGCTTCCTGCCTAGATGCAGGTGCAGGAATCAGGGGGTCATGAATAATGCATGGCATGCAGATGAGGTGGTAGTTTCTCCTACTGGGGTTTTGACTTTGCTACCTGCCTGGCTGCTACATGTGGAAAGATGGCAGGCCATGGCAAAAGTGCTGCAACAAAGACTTGAAAGACCGAGCTCACAAAAAACAATGCCCAGCCTTTTGAAGAAACAAAATTTGAGAGAGAGCTGAAATGTAAACATTTATGGTATACTTTATTAGCTGAAATAAGCTCCAGGTTATCCATTTACTAATTTGGGGCTGGGGGAAAAAATGTCTTGTTTTACCATTTTAACTGAAGAAATGCTATCATTTTAGGAATTCTTTGAAGACTGTCAAACAGTTACAGAAATCACCTGCTTATAGTATTTGCTCCATGGATGGGTCAATGAAGTGTTACTGCAAGATACAAATACCTAGAGAACATTCTAATTAAAGGTTAAACAGGCCTGTTTTTCTCTGCTGATATATGCAATGAGAACCATCAATAAGAGCATTTATTTACTAGTAAACTTCAACAGGCAGAATGATCATGATGAATAGAAATACCAGGGTTAAGGAGGAAGCAATAAAAGAGGTTAACATTTAAAGGCTATAGAGTGAATTAAATAACTGCATTTGGGCTATTACTTTCTAAAGCTTTATTTGGGCAGCATAACTCTGACACCCCAGTGGGGATATAGAGAAAGTTCAAGAGGATTTCCGGCGTTTCCCCTTAGGACAGGGCCTTTAACTGGGGAGACATTTTTTTGGCTCAGAGTTTCATTATGATGACTGTATTTTCAAGCAGACAAACTGAAATAAAAAAGAAGAAAAAAAGAGAGTTTTGTTACCTTTCCTATACTTCCTGCACATTTTTACGGCATGTTTTTTTTCCTCTCTCCTCAACTTGGGATGCTGGACTAGGATCAGGCTTTCATTTCTAGCCCAGTCTGTCATTTCCGCTAGGCCCCAGGTTGGCCCAGTGCCAAGACCAACAGGTGATCCTTGTAGCTGCAAAACAGCAGGAAGCGGGCCTTGCTTGAATGAGACAGTTCACCAGAGGGGCTGTCTGGCCTCTCTCCATCTTTCTGCATAATTAACATCCCCTCCCCCATGCAGAGCAGAAAATCTGTGCTGAGCAGCTCAGCTGCAGCAGCCATTGAGAAGTGCTGTGAGGAAAAGAATGTTAATAAGGGATGTTGGAAGAAATAAGCCTTCCGGGTGCAAAGTGCAGTCTGGCTCTGGCTTTACTGAAAGACTGCAAGTTGGCCCTTCTGAGTGGCTAGCACTGTATTATGTATTTTGAAATGATTTCCACTTGCTGAACACTCATGGAAAACGGGATTCTAAGGAACCTGGGAGCTTTTGGTTCTAACCGGACTTAAACGGGAATTTAAAATCCCTGTTTTCTTTCTTGTCTTGTAAATAAAGAGTAATGTCTGAGACATAAAGAGTCAAGATAAGACAAGCTAAATCCTAGTAATGTTAGAACAGAGCAGGAAGTTGGCCAGGAGGAAGCAGGAAGTAGAGCATAGGGTGTTGCCAGTGAGTGAGCCACAGAGAGGGGGAGGGTCAGTGGCTAGCTTGTGATTGAAAGGTGTCAGGACAGGACGTCATGGACATTTAAAAGGTTTGCAGTGGATGACTCCATCCCAGGAAGCTTGTAAACCAGTCTAGTCTTTACTTTGAATTGACTTTCCATTCCTCAAAGCCCAAAGCTGTAGACTGTAGAGCATCACATCTAGAAGGTCTTTTTCTTAGAAATAACTATTGGCCCCTCCTTCCTCCTCCAGATTCTGTTCCTGGATATTTGGATTTAAATTATTGTAGGGGAGGAAAAAAGTTTTTCTTGTATCCACCCAGGTTCAGTGGGGGAGGAGGCTGAAAATTAAATTGACAAAAGACAAATTAGCAAGAGACAAAAAAAACCCAGCAGTTTATATGTATAACATGCAAACATGTAAAAGTACTTAATGATAAGTAACACAAAAGGCGATTAGAATTTGGAGCTATATACCACTAGAGGCCTGGTGTACGAAATTCATGCACAGGAGGCAGGATGTCCCTCAGTTCAGCCTGCACACTCTCCAATCTGGGACCCCTTGAGGGATGTTCTATAGGATCAGGCCTTAAAAGGCCAGTCAGACATCCCTCTCACAATCCAGGACTGCTGGCTCCCAACTGCTCACCTGCCTGCCTTCCTGATTGCCCCTAACTGCTTCTGCCTGACAGCCTGATCACCCCCATACCACTTCCCTGCCATACTGATTGATGCCTAACAGCTCCCCTGTCAGCATGTTTGCCCCTAACTGCCCTCCCCTACAGGCCTGTCTCTCCCCTCCCACCCTCCCACCCCCGCCAACTGCTCTCCCCTGCAGGCCTGGGACTCCCCCTCCCCAACTGCCTTCCCTGCAGGCTTGGTCGCCCCAACTTCCCTCTTCTGCCAGCCTGGTCACCCCTATCTGCCCTCCCTTGCAGGCCTGGTCCCTCCCAACTGCCTTTCCCTGCTGGCCATCTTGTGGTGGCCATCTTGTGTCCACATTGGAGAAGCCATTTTTGACCACATGGGGGCAGCCATCTTGTGTGTTGGAGTGATGGTCAATTTGCAAATTACTCTTTTATTAGGATTTTAACAAAGACTGATCAAGTGTGGAGAAAGGACTAGTCAAAAGAAAGGGGATCTGGGCTTCAATGAGGGATAAATTGTAAGAAGGTGACTAGGAAACAGAAAAAGTAATGGTAAATAAGGGTATTTTTTTAGGCAAACTCATTTCAGTACTGACTCTGGTGATAAAAGTTATATCATGAACTACTCTTCCTGGTGTGGGAGAGAGGGATACCTTCATAAGTGCAAATTTTCTTTCCAAAAGATAAGTTTATGTCCTGCTATTAGGCCTGTAAAAAGAGGATAGAGAGCTCCTCCTATGTCTGCTGTTTCTCAATTACTTTTAGCTGAAAATAATCCTCATGCCAAAGTAGCATATTTTGGAGTGGCATATCCTGATCCCCTCATTATCTTGCTTTTTTTTTTAAGTCTAGAAGTTAACTGAGGAAGTGTACACTTAGAGTGTACACTTAGAGCTTTGGTTTATCTCTTCCTGCCCTCCCTCCTCCCGCCATGTAGGAATAGGTAGCAGAAAAGGCCTATTTCGGGCAGGTCCATACTTTACATTATTTTTACCCACTCCTACAACTCACAAGGTATAGGTAGCCAGCAACTCTTTGTTGAATTGAATGAATGAAATCAACTGATTAAAACTGCTGGTCCTCTTAAAACTGGGGGTCTTCACAGTGAACATATGAGAAACCTTGTCCTATTATAGGTAGTACAGAACGGAAATGAGAGACCCTGCAGGTTTGCAGGCATAGGACCTTACCTGCATCCATTTACTAAGAGGTGATCAAGTCCTTGGGGATTCGATCATAAAGTAAATCTAAAATATTATTTATAAACCAGATTCCTTTTTACATGTTCATTTGTAATTGGGAATATGCTTTTTCATTTACTCTCATCTACTTACAGGGTACATCCGTCCCCAGTATCAAGGGTCAGGGGAAGTCGAATGAATAATCAGAAGTTTTCTTGGTGAGTACACAGTCTAAATTATGACAATGTTTAAGTTTTATGGGAAATTGTAATATATCTGTGTTACAACAAAATAATTATTTCTGCTCCTCTGCAGAGCAGCAATTTTCAACAGGTGTGCCTCAAGAATTCTTAAAGCATATAATACCTGACTATTTAGTCAGGGACACTGACCTCTTTTAGATTATGGGGGGAAAAATGACAATGGTTAAAACAACAATAGCCCTCTGGGGTGAATGTATCAAAATTAAACCTACTATTTTTGTGTTTGTGTCAGATCAGCAAAAAATGTAATACATTTTTGGCATGCTGCAGAATTTTAGTAATTAGTTTATGTGTGCCATGAAATGAAAGTTTGAAAGTCCTACAGAGAATGTGTTTCTACTAACTGAATTACATTCTCTCCCTTTTCTTTGGAAAATTCCTTTCCAGCCAAAACTCTTTACTCACTAAAAACTGAACTTAATATTTTTTTTAATAACAGATGTAATATATTTCCCAGGATTGTCAACTGTTAATTTTTTTTAAAAAATCTTCACCCATTTTGGAAAATACTATAAGCTTTTTAAGTGATATTTAGGCAATAATTCAGATTTTTTTTCAGGCACCAACTTCTACTTCTCATGAAGATTTTCATAGTAAAGTAATCTATACTAATAAAAGGGTAATATGTTAATTAGACCGGTCAACTGGACATTTTCCAGATGTCCAACTTGCTTCTAGACAAAGCCACGGTGGTGGGGGCTGAGGCAGAAGCGATTAGGGGCAATCAGGCTGTCAGGGGAGCAAGCAGTTAGTGGGTGATCAGGCCAGTGCAGGGGAGGGTAGTTGGAGGTGATCAGGCCAGCAGGCAGAGGCTGTTTGGGGCAATCAGGCAAGCAATTAGGAACCAGTGGTCCTGGATTGTGAGAGGGATGGCCAACTGCCAGTTTAGGCCTGAATCCTGTAGGATCAGGCCTATACCGGCAGTCAGACATCCCCCAAAGGGGTCCTAGATTGAGAGGGTGCAGGCTGGGCTCAGTGACAACCCCTCCTCCCTGGTGCATGAATTTCATGCACCCGGCCTCTATTCTACATATATATAAAAGCCCAAGTGACTATTACAATCAGATGACCTGACGACTGGCCAATAGCTATGACATGCACTGACCATCAGGGCTGGTCAGGGCATTCCCACAGCCAACCTCCACACGGTTCCTTCCCCGAGCCAGCCAGCCCCCATCAGCCCCAAATCAGCACAGGGACCCCATCTGTGCATGAATTTGTGCACCGAGCCTCTAGTCTATTATATTAATTTTGCTGATTAATATTTAGATGTGTATGTGTTTTTCTGATGGGGATTTAAGTATCCAGGGATTTTATTTTTAAACTAGAGGCCTGGTGCACGAATTCATGCACCAGTGGGGTCCCTCAGCCTGGCCTGTGGGGATCAGGCAGAAACTGGCTCTCCAACATCCCCCGACGGCTCCTGGATTGCAAGAAGGCACAGCCAGGCCAAGGGACCCCACCAGTGCACAAATCCATACACTGGGCATGTAAGAGCTTTGGTTAATCTCTTCCTGCCCTCCACCTTCCTGCTTCCCTCTGAGATTTATCAGTCTGTTCTGTGTTTCTATGCTTATGGTTTTCACTCTTGTGTTGAGTGCTTTCCCCCAGGTGGTCAGTGCATGTCATAGCTACCAGTCTGATGGTTGCTTAGGCTTTTATATATATAGAGAGAAAGATATAGATAGATAGACAGATAGATAGATGATAGATTGATAGATGATAGATAGATAGATAGATAGATAGATAGATAGATAGATAGATTTGGGGAATACAAATATCTTCTTTCACTGACCAGCTTTTGAACAGACATATAGATGGAAATTATCACAAAAGACCTGAAAAGTTAGTTCAACCACAAATTATCTGATTGTAATAGTCACTTGGGCTTTTAGATTCTATAAAAGAGCAATTTAAGATGTTTTATAAATGTTTTATGTGAAACAAAAAAATTAAATAATGTAGGTTTAAAATCCATTATGTTCAAATTAACTACTCCATTGCACAAAATTACTCTTTCTAAACATACTAGTAATGTATCTTCATAAAAGAAGGAAGGAAATAAGGATTGATTGAACTTGAACTGTGTACTGCTTACTTCAGAACTAAGTGAAAATGCACAGGTATCCATTTTTACTTCACTGAATTGTGCTTAGAATGGGATTTTGATTAAAAAATCGTGGCTTTTTTTTTAAGTATGGGAAGATGATTACTGAAGCTTGAGCTTTCAAATTAATTTTATTCCTAAATCAGGATTATTTTTAGACACATAATAATGATTCTTTGAATTTGAATGGTATCTAATCAGCTCACCTCCCTTCCCCCATTAAATCGAATTAACCCTCACAATAGCTTGGTGCTGTTGTTAAATAGCATGCTTTTCTTCTTTTACAGAGAGGGAAAAGGAACACAAATGAAGCAGCTATTTGCTTACACTCTGTCTAAAAGCTGGGGCCTCCTACATGCTTTCTCACCATCACTAAAGCATATTGTCCCCTGCCCAACCTAGGAAGCTGAGGGGAAAATAGCGCTGATGCCCATTATATTAAAGAACAGGGAGAACTGGGGCTTTTCCTGACAGCAGGGAATTGATATTCCTTCTCAGCACATAGCGTATTGCACTAAAGAAACTTTATTACATGTAAAGACTATGAGATGCTCATGTGAGCAATATAAGTTAACAGATAGAGTGCAACAATGTCAGTTATGAGATCTAGTTTCTACAATTTGTTTTACTAATTGTGGGACATTGAGTAAATAAAAAATATTATTTTCTTCACTTTTGCTTCCTGGAGGATTAATGATAACTCATTCCTACATAACTTATAGCACATTATTCAGTAAGTTCAAACTACTACTTTTTTTTTCTGAGAAGTGAGCCATGAAAAACAGAAAAGATTTTTACTATTAGCCTTGGTAAAATTCAACTTTTATTTACTCACCAATTTTATTTACTGTCCCTGGCTGTGTGCAAAGTGCTAGATTAATAAAATAAATAAAACATGGTTTCTGTTCTCAAGGGGCTCACTCAAGGGTCTTGTAGGGTGTGGGTAGGTCATCATATATGTAATATGCAATATTATGTGATGTCATATAGATAATACATATAAAAATGCTCTAAGGAGATATATAATGTGCAGAGGGGAAATATCATCAACTCTAATACTAATTTGAGAGTAGGTACCCTGTTTCCGCCAAAATAAGACAGTGTCTTATATTAATTTTTGCTCCCAAAGATGCGCTAGGTCTTATTTTCAGAGGATGTCTTATTTTTCCATGAAGAAGAATATGGCACACATTTATTGTTAAAGGAAATTTATTACCTGTTTACGGTACGGTAGTTTGGTAGTTGTCAACACAAACCAGACAATCTGTGAATCCTACAGTATCAAGAATTTACTCATCTATACAATAATAATCATGTCATCATCTTCTGGAACATCATCATAACAATCCAATTCCTGAATTTCCTGGTGAATTTCTTGTGACTCCATTTCTTTCAGAATCAGTGGACCAAATCTCTCATGTTTAGCAATAGCATTCTGAGACAGAGCCTAGGGGGGCCTTATTTTCGGGGGATGCCTTATATTTCACTCAGAAGGAAACCTGTAAATAGGTCTTATTTTTGGAGGATGTCTTATTTTCGGGGAAACATGGTAGTGCGAAGGGAGAAAGTATAGAGGAAGGAAGAAGATTATGAGATAACCCACCCTGGAGAAGGTTTTTGAGTCAAGACCCAGAAATAGTAGGAAAAAGCAGAGGGTTGAGATAGTGCCTTCTTTATAAATTGAAAAACACGTATAAGGACCTGGAAACATTTCTGAATGAACTATAGTAGGAGCATTTGGCCATGTGCTTCATTTGGTCATGAGTTAGTTTAAATTCCTATCGTATGCATTACCTTGGATATTCCTTAAGTAAATACTGCGAGGCTGGTACATGGAAATAAATCACCCAGCATCTATTGATACCTCTGGTCAAGTGATAAGCACTTACTGTTTCTTTGTGAAATATTGGCTCTGAGAGTCCAGGAAATTTAAATATGCATGCTTAGCAAAGGAGGTGGAGGAAAAGTGACCTTTGCTCTCCCCCAAATACAAGTAATTTATAGAATTAGATGTGAAGTTCAACACTAGCGTGGCTCAGGATTGAGTGCGCTCTGCAAACACTCTATGTGAGTGATGTGAGGTGCTTTTGTGAAGCCGAGTTAGCAAATGCTTCATTCAGGTTAAAATAATGGTGTTCATCAAACAAGCAATTAAACCGCAGGAAAAGGCTGGAATTTATAAGTTAGGGATAGAAAAGGCATGACAATTGGTAGGTTGTAAATGTCAGTGGCTGTGGTTGAGCTATCAAACCGGTGTTGATCATTGAGTAAAGATGGTTTAAAAGTTTAAGTGGTGTTTTTCTTTGCAAAATGTTAATAAGAGAGGCAGCATCCACTGGCCTCATCCCTGTGGCAGCATTTCCTCTGGAGACGAAGAAATGTGTGGAAAGAATTTCTGTTCAAGGCAGACAAGCCTGCTCGAATGGAAAGAAAATGTAACATGTGCGTATCCAGGGAGAAGATGAAAGCACCAGCATGTAAGGGGTCCTAACAGATGTTAGGATGGAGCCAGGTTGCTGTAACTGCCTGCTAACTCCCAGGGATTGAAGAATGGCAATAAGAACTTCTGTCAGGAAATACTAGCATCCCAGTAAAGAACACGACATCATTGCACCAATACAGGCCATGAAAGACAGCAACCCAGGTCAGACATAAACTCCATCAGAATGGCATATGAATTTCCTTCTTTATTTCATGAGTTATATCTCCCCTCTTTCCTTCACCATTGGCCCTAAGAGTTGATCACACCTTCCTTTGCCCAATAACTATGTAAACTTTTTTTTTTTAGATCATTTGTCACTTTCTCTTGCTTGTGATAATGCCAGGAAAATATTTTGCTCCATTGGAG